TAATAAAATTAATTTTTTTTTTCCGAGATGATTTATATTTTCTGATTATGAAATCGATTTAATGTGTGAATATATCGAAATTGTATACATTTGATCGTGACTTATGAGGAACCTAACGTGAATCATTTAAACAAATATCCTTTATTCTATAGTTTAAATTGGTAATAATTTATATTTTAAACATTTTCTATATATATCAAATTTCCTGGTGATAGTTTTGGAACGACGGACAAGTTTTTAAAAACATTTTAATAATACACGTTTCATTCGAATTTAAATTTAAATTTTAAAAATACATCATACGAGAATTTTTATGATTTTATTTTTATTATTATTATTTATAAAATAAGATAGAGAAAATTGATTGATAACTAATGTGACCTTCCATGTTGATTGGAGAAGAGAACAAACCACAATTCAGAAGGGTATGAAGACCTTTCCCTAATAGACTCGTTTTAAAGTTTGGAGGGGAAACCCGAGAGGGAAAGCTCAAAGAGGACAATATCCGCTTGCGGTGGATCTTGGCCGTTACAAATCGTATTAGAGCCAGACACCGGACAATGTGTCAACCTTCTCGATGTTCCTTGAATGAGGGTAGACACGAGGCGTCATGCCAGTAAGAACACTGGCCCCAAAGAGGGTGGATTTGTTGTGACCTCACACATTGGTTGGGGAAGAGAACAAACCATCATTTATAGGTGGATTTGTTGTGACCTCCCACATTGGTGTGGAAACCTGAACAAACCACCATTTATAAGAGGGTGTGGACCACCACCAACCTTCTCGTTGTTCTCGAATGAGGGTAGACACGAGACTGTGTGCCAGTAAGCACCATTTATACGGGGTGTGGAAACTTCTACTGTCGAAAGGGAAAACCCAAAATGGATTATATAAATAATTTGAACTACAATTTTAATTAATTAATTATTTATATAAATCACAACCTAAGACCCTCCAAAGAAAAAGAAAAAAGAATTAATTAAATAATAGAGAAAATTGATGGCGGGCGACCCACTTGATCGGCGGTAGATTTGTGGAGGATGACTGGAAACCGTAGCCATTGGTATGGCGATCTCAAATTGTGTGGGTTTATGTAGCTCCATTTTTGACCAATCTGGTAATGGTAATGGCAGTGCCAATTGCTTTGATTTGTTGTGGACCAATTAATTACCCTGAACTACTCGTTGAACAGAGAGGAGGATTTTGTCATATGATACGAACCATCCCCCTCTTTTCTTCTTCTTTCGTCTTTTCAATGCAATCCCTTGATTTATTATCCCTAAACCCTTTGATTTGGAGCGAGAACAAATCTCCTCGAAGCAGCAGCAGCAGCTTTAAATGCGAGTTGGTTGATGCGGTTGTTTTCCGTCTTCTCCTTCTTAAGATCCAAGTTTTTTTGCCCTTTCTTTGAATTCCCCAATTCTTGTTTCTTTTCGATTCTCCATTTTCGACCAACCTTTTTGATTTCCATGGATTTCATAGCCAATCCTTTTCGGCTTTCTTCTTCCTCTTCGCCTTCGTTTGGGAATCTCTTTGAGAGAGTTCGAGAAATTTGCTGCTATGCGGTTTATGCGATTCTTGGCAACATTTTGTCTGCGATCTTCACTTTCTTCTTCGCCCTAGGTTTGTTTGTTTGTTTGTTTGTTTGTTTGTTTGTTTCTAATTGATTTTCTGCAGTTCTTGGGATCATTTCCATGTTTGTGATTCTTCTTCATGATAACCTTTCATATGGAAACTAATTTGAGAATTTGATTTGCCAAGAGGGCTTTCTTAAGATTATTTGGGTTTGAAGGAGATGAAATTGTTCTTTGTTTCTTTTGGCAGTGGGGACTTTGCTTGGAGCCATGACTGGAGCATTAATTGGCCAAGAAACAGAGAGTGGGTTTGTTAGAGGAGCTGCTGTTGGGGCAATTTCTGGTGCTGTTTTTTCAATTGAAGTCTTTGAATCTTCTTTGGTTCTTTGGCAATCAGATGAATCAGGAATAGGTTGTCTTCTTTATCTGGTGAGCAAACTTTTTATCCAAATCTTTTGATGATTTGAACCCTCATACGAATCTAAATCTTTTTAATCCTTGTTCATATTTTTGGCTCTGTTCTTGATAATCCAACATCGTTTTGTCCTCAACTCTGTGTAGATTGATGTCATTGCAAGCCTCCTCAGCGGTCGACTAGTTCGAGAACGGATCGGTCCAGCCATATTGAGCGCAGTTCAAAGTCAGGTAGCTTTGCAATGCCATTGATTCCAGCTGGTGAAGTGTATAGTTGTGTAGCTTCATGTAAAATGATGAAACTCATGTCTTGGTTTTGATGTGCATCAGATGGGTGCTGCAGAGACAAGCTTTGACGACATCTCGAACATCTTCGACACCGGCAGCTCGAAAGGACTGCCTGGGGACCTGGTTGAGAAAATTCCCAAGATCATGGTGTCTAAGAACAACAGTGTAGATGCTTATGGAGAAAAAGTCGGTTGTTCCGTTTGCCTTCAGGTTAGGCTCTAACTTTTATGGATCTCTCTCGTATGAACACAAATTTCTGTTGTTGAAATGGCTCTGATTTTCCCAGGACTTTCAGCTTGGAGAGACTGTAAGAAGCTTACCATATTGTCATCACATGTTCCATTTGCCCTGCATTGATAAATGGCTTATTACTCATGGTTCTTGCCCTTTATGCAGAAGGGATCTGTAATATTTTTCCACTCACCGCTGTGTTAACCTTGCCCTTGTAAATTACAAAGAGAAAATTTCCTTATTTTCGAGTTAGGTCATTGCTTCAGTAGTTCGATATAGGGGCGTCGGACTCGGAACATACTGTGACGATCGATCCTCACCGATGTATAAAATTTTTGAGTAATTATACCCTTATATATGCTCTTGTGAATAAACCATATTCCTTCTTTTCTTCCTTACTTATCATTATGCTATGAGTTTTGGTTGCTTCTCTCGTTTTTGCTTAAAGATATAGTGATTGCCTTTGTTAACAACGTTTAAGACTCAGTCATTGCTTTGTTTGTCTTTAAAATGGTAGTTTCAGTCACTCATTGTGTGGGATCTCACATCGGCTAGGGAGGAGAACGAAACATTCTCTTTATAAAGTTGTGGAAACCTCTCCCCAATAGACGTGTTCTAAAAACCTTGAGGAGAAGCCCAAAGAGGACAATATCGTTTAGCGGTGGAGTTGGGCTGATTACAATACAAATGGTATCAGAGCCAAACACCGGGTGATGTGTCAATGAGAAGGTTGAGTCCCGAAGGGATGAACATGAGGCGGCATGCCAGCAAGGATGCTGAGCTCCGAAAGAGGGTGGATTGGAAAGGTTCCATATCAATTAGAGAAGGAAAGGGCCTAAAGAAAACAATATTGGTTAGCTGAGCTTGGGCTGTTACCTTTTGTCTTTTGGATGGCATTCTGTCATACGATACTGTTCGTTTCTTGTGAGACAACAGTCCATAAATTAAAGACCACTAAAGTTTTTTAAAGACAAGTTTGGACAGCAGGAATAGCCCAGATGACTAATGGTAGCCCTTCAAAGCTGAGATTGTTGAGGTTAGTTGAGAGGGTATTGAAAATATTTAATACCCATATTAAGCAGAAACTTTGGGAGTGGAAATACTAGGGATTTCAAGTCCCATTCTGCTGCATGATCAGGTATTGGGGAGCCCCATCTACCTTGAAAGGTTCTCAGACTGCAGGACAGATGCCTCTACTAAAACACACTCTTTCCCCCTCATTTAATGAAGTTATACCCTTAAAAAGATGTGTTAAACTTCTCTGTTATTATCGGGTCCGTTTTAATAGATTTTTTATAACAGTCCAAGTCTATCCCTAGCAAATATTATCCGTTTTAGCCTTTTATGTATCCTGTCAGCCTTACGATTTTTAAAACACGTTTGTTAGGAAGATGTTTCCACACCCTTATAAGGAATTGTTCGTTCCCCATTCCAATTGATGTGGGATCTCACAATCTTCATTAGGGGCCAACGTTCTCGTTGGCATACTGCCCGGTGATGTGGGAGGGATTGAGATCTCACATTCCTACTCCTACCATATTAGTTTTTCAAATCTTCATAGAAGGATAGAAGGATATGGATACTTTTCAAAGATTCGGGACCTAATAGAATGCTAAAAGTCATAATAAAACCATACAGTTGTTTGTATGGGGTCCTTAAGATTAGAGCTCGAAAGTGACTCGATTATTTATATTAGGTTTGTTTGTGTGGGTTTTGCTTCATCTACCACAATAAATAGTGTTGAAAATCTACCAAAAAGAATTGGAATCTGTTTGGTTTGGTATTTCACTTTAAGAAGACCATAGCATTGTACTGAGAATTGAATCTTTACAAGTTTGTCACTGCATTTCATCACTACCACCTACTTGCCCTTTAATGGTCACCTACCCTTGTTTTCTTTTGCTTCCAATAAAATCTTAGAATAATGGTCATTTAGTGGTTGCACAAATCTCACTTTTTCTTCAAATCTTCATTGTTTTCTTTATACACAAGGAAACATGATAATATAATATAGCCAAATCACAATATGGGAGCGCACGGTGGCTTGAAGAAAGGGCTCTCTCTAATTCTAGCCATGTAGTGGATTTGATTTAGTCGGTTAAAAAGAGGTGTGTAGCTAGACTTCTTTCTTTACAGTGTTTCATGCTCCCTTCTTCATTAATCCATTTAGGCCCGACTAGGTACACATGTATCCAAAGAACCTGGCTCGAGAGTAGTTTCTTAACAGTAGGGTCCTTGTTTGTTAGTGAGAGTCCTGTTTTTTTCTATGACTAGCTGCACGGGTGTGGCCAAAAAGCAACCAGCTGACTACCGCCTTCTATTCCGTCTTTCTTAGCTATGTGAAGAAGATTTATCAGAAACTCCACCAGAAGAAGTGTCGGATGACTCTCTTTGTCAACTTAGTCCATCAACTTAAGCATAACTTAGTACATCACGATAACCTGCCATATTCTAAATAGTAAGCCTAAAAAGGATAAAAGGTGAGAAGTGAAGTATGCAAGAAGGAGAAGAATTCCCCAATGGCATGTATTAAGCTCCATCGCCAGATTTTGAGTGTACTTTCCTCAGAAGTTCTTAGAAAGAAATTAAAAAGTAAAAGCTGACTTAGAATGTTACACTAAGCTGAGCTGAGCAGGGCAGAGCAGAGCAGATCAGATCATTTAAAGAATCAAAGTGAACCTTCTCTCATCCCTGAGAAGCTTTGCATTATTGTTCATTGGGGAGTAGCGTTGAGCTTAGAAGCTGCTACAGCCTTTGCAGATAGGTTCACCCCTCCCCCTCTCACTGACAAAACAGGGCTCCTTCCTCCTGAACCACTCGAACCCAGAAACACAACTATCACCGTTGTGTCGTCATGAAAATGACGCCGAACCCCACGGTCGATCTTCTTCAAGTCCGAGTACCGCATTTCTCTTTTCTTAGCTGCTTCCTGCATTGCTGCTTTCACCAACCTCCTTGCACTTCCCTATTTGAAGCCAATAAAACAAGAGAGAATAACTTTACTGAATACAATTGACAATGAGGTTTACACTCAGAAAAACACAACTTACACTGTGAGGATGCTTGTGAACAATATCAACTGCTTCCTGGTTGCTAAGGTGCTCCCATAGCCCATCAGAAGCAAATATGAGGAATTGATCGTTCGGATCGAGTTCGTGCACAGAGATTGCTGGTTCTGAGCTCAGAATAGGCCTACTGAACGGTTCTTGGAGGCGAAACTTGGCATACAATGGCTCCCGGTTGAATTCTGGCTTTTTGAGATATACGTCTCCAATTGACCGAGAAATCTGCATACGAGTTAAAAGGGAAGTTTTGGATTGGGGGAGAAGATAGGCTCAAATATGCCATGGTAGTCAATATACAAGTATGCAAATAACTCATGGCTCAACAACATCGGATCCAACACGACTCTTCGATTTGATGCAACTGATAAAAGAATGAAAAATCTCCAAAACAATGAGGCAATAAAGAACAGTTGCAGAGCCATGGAAACATGTTGCATGAGACGGACCCAATAAGGTTTTGAACGTGTAACGAAACATTTTCTTCACCTATGGCATCTAAAAGCTCACCCAAACTCAAGACATTTCTCGACTTTTAATGCACAACAGATAACTCGACCGAAGAACATGTCTAACCCACAAATTCTACCAAATTAGCTCGACTCTAACCGTGTGAGATCCCACATCAGTTGGAGAGGGGAATGAAACATTTCTTATAAGAGTGTGGAAAAGATAGTATCGCTATAACCACAGAAGGCAAAGATTCGATACCTTTCAAGTATAAAACTGAAAATATCTCAGGATCAACCAAGCTTAGGAAGTACCTGAATCAAGCCCTTTACACGCCATACATTATGCTTCAACACCACAATATGGGGGTCATCGGGGTGCGAAGACTGCATCTCCTGGCGGACTGATGGTATACTTGCATTGTGCTCTGATGATAGCTGAATCGGAAGAACTTCTCCAGTGGACTGAACAAGCCTTCCCAACACGGCACGGGAATCACCTAGGTTCGCAACGTAGAGTTTCCCGTCACAAATCACTCCAACCAGACAGCAAGAACCAACAGCCGCAATCTGGGGGTTCATAGGCCATTGCTTGGTGACAATAGAGAGAAACCCCTCTTCTGTTGCTTGGAATGCTTTCTTTATTACATTTGCTGACATTGCCTTTTCTTCTGTGGCAAACACTGAACAGTAAAAGGTGACCGACCCAATTAGATCAGTTAAGCGTTTATTTGATTATATCGGCTAATTGTGATGCTCGAACCGATTCTAAAACTAATGCGTGCAACAAGCCCTACTTCTTAAACGATGCATTTATCAAATTCAAGATGTTTAAACTCCTCTTACCTTTGAGATGCTGGAACAAGTTAGCACATATGAATCGCGATGTCTCAGGGCCACCATGGCCATCGTATATTCCAACAAAGGTTCCATAAGGTCCCGACTCGAGCAAGCTCAAGGGGCCAGACTCAAGCTGGCTCTGATCCTCAAGTAAATTGTTGGCCTGAACAACAGCCATTGAAAACTCTCCATTGATATGGTGGCCATGGTCCTTGTACCAAAGTAGCCCATCTTGGCAGCCAGCTGAATCAGAACCACGGCCCCGACGTGCCTGCCGATCAGCACATGGCTGCCAGCAGGCCCTCAGGAAGTTCATCAAACTTGATAACATCCCTCATTGCACCAGAGCCACCCTCCAATTCCTCCACATCCAAAATGGATGCAACACCAATCCCACCTCAAAATCCTTCCCTGCAGCCCCAACAATCAAAGATGAGCCACAAAATCAGTTCATCAAAACCAACCCCATATTCCTTCCTATTTAAAGCTCAAAATTCCCAGGAAAACAAACAGAAAATACAAACGAGCAACGAAGAACAGCATTAACAACAAGAATCAGAACAAAATCTACCTCTGCATTCTAGAGTTCAATCATTTCCACAGTTGAAGTTTAAGAACAAGAAACAGTCAATAATTTAATCCGAGAGAAAACGAAATCGAAAAAGGAAAAAAATCAACCACAGATTCTCCTATCAACAGTAACAAGAACGAAAAAGAAACAATAAAAAAAACAGAATAAGCGAAGAACAGTATGAACTCACTGTAATTAGGCTATTCTGGTCAGTTGGGGTCAGCTACTACTGGTCGAAACCAAATGAAAACGACGGAGATCTAAAAGAGACGCAGCAATACATGTGCAAGTAAACTTGTTAGATCAACAGATCCATCGATCCCCAAAATAGGGAAATGGGTCTTCTACTGCTACAAATTCCTTCTCAAACCTGTTCTTAATTCCACAACAAAACTAATGAGGAAGAAGAAGAAGAACATAGAAGAACTCTCTTGATCCATACGAAAACAGAGTAATATATATTGTTAGGTCAATCCTCCACTTTTCATTAATTTACCTCTCTAATTGAACTAACCTGAGAAGAGCTCTCAAAATTTAGTCCCATCTTTGACTTTTCTTCCGACCCATCTCCACAAAACTTGAAAAAATTAGCAAACAGCACTGAAATTTTGATGGGGTTTTGTCCTTTTACGAATCAGGAAGTGGGGTGGAGTCATTTTCTTCGATTTCGTGAAGACCAGTAATGGAGTGGGGTAAATATCTTGGGGCAAATTTTCAGGAGGAGAAATGAGTATCGCTATGGCGCAGGTGGCGACGTGTCGATCGATTGAGAAGAACAAGACGACACGTGGTGGGATTCGACGATCAGCAAGCGGCTTCCATTTTATGGATTCTTAGCTCCACAAGAATCTGACGAGTCGTATTCAAACACCGATCATTTTTTGGTGGTTGATTCGAAACGGTGCTTGTTTCTTTTAGGGTTTTGATCGATTTTGTCAAATGGGGATTCGTGGCTTCCGTTTTCAACTGTTTGTTTATGATGATTCTTGATATGTTCGTTGTTTTTCTCAATGGAGCGTTCTTGATCTTGTTTTTGTTCGTAATTTTGTGTCGTAACGAAATTATGATGAGATAAATCGATATCATATTTTATTGTCTTTTGTGCATGAATTTTAGTTCGTCGTGATCATATTTAAAAGAACGAGAATAAGGATGAGTCGGTACATTTTAATCCGTGATTTTGAGCCATTTTTCTTTCAGAGTTTGGTTCAGACTTATTATCGCCCTACCGTCTTAAGTTAGTTAGGGTGATAAGGAAAGAGCCTGACACACGCACACTCAATCGCCATCTTCTCCCCTCCTCTCGCCTAACACATTACTTCACTTAGCTCGTTTCTGACATCACCTTCGTCTTTGATTGTTGCCGTCATTGGCTTTATTTTCAGTACAAGAGTTATTTATCTTATGAGGTGGTTGATAATGCTCGTTAACGAAGGCTTGAATTTGAATCGATTATTCAAAGAGTCCAACCAAATATTTTTGAGTTCGGTTGTGTTCATTATTTAATAATAATTATCGTATCGAAAAAAATTTACAATTAGAACAATTGAGTTTAGTCTAAAATTGTCTCAACTCAATCATATTCAACCTCCGAACACTCGAGTTATTTATGTGTTTATTTTGTTTTGTGGTTGATTGTCCTGAAATTTATAAGAGTCAGACCAACATATCGTTGTCAGTCTCACAATTTTAAAACGCGTTAACTAGGGAGAGGTTTTCCCACTCTTATAAGAAATGTTTCGTTCCCCTCTTAAATTGATGTGGGATCTCACAATTCACCCCCTCGAGAGCTAGTGTCTTCGTTGGCACATCGCTCGACATATGCCTTTAATATCATTTGTAACAACTTAAGCTCACTGCTAACAGATATTGTCTGTTTCAGCCCATTATATATCACGGTTAGTCTCATGATTTTAAAACGTTTATGTTAGGGAGAGGTTTACACATCCTTATAAGGAATGATTTGTTTCATTCTGCACACCGATATCAGATCTTACAAAATTAGTCATCCATCATTCTCAAACAATTTTTTTTTTTTTTTTTTTTAATTGAATAATTCTTGATTGATAGTGTTTTCATTTTGGGAAAGAAATTGCATGCAATTTGACTGGACTCGATAGTGGACTTTTATTTACACAACCCGACAACTTAACCAAAGTCAGTTCTTTAAAGTGGATTGACTCGCATAATTTTTTTAAAAATATTAAAATTAAAATAAAGTAAAAGAAAAATTAGAACAACTAATTGATGGACCCGACCCGAGCTAGTTCTAAGTTGACTAAGCTTACGCGTATTGTTTGTGAATGGAAGACTTTGAATGATGAAGTCTCACGACTCATGGTCGCCAAATTGGAAAAATTGAGCCTCCCCTTTCAAAAATATAATAATAACAATTCAATTTTACTTTTAAATTTTAAATTTTTATTTATAAATTAATTTTTTTATTATTTTCCAGCGGGATATTGTCTTATTTGGAAAGGTTTTCCCTCGAGGTTGGGTAACCTAACATTCTCGCTGACACACTACTCGAAATTGGCTCGTACTATTTGTAACACTCTAAGCTCAATAGACACCATTTCAAGAAATTAATATTTGAATTTAAGTCGAGTAGATAATATAATAATATTTTTTAAAAAATAGGGTAGAAAATGTAAGTTTAAATCTTTTAAGAGTTAAAAAAGGAAATTTTTAGTTGAACAAAAAAAAAGAGAGAGAAAAACAGGGGACCCGCCGCAAGTCCACAGTTCCGTCCAGAGTGTAGGACGTCAACACAGAGAGAGAGAGAGAGAAGAAGAAGAAAACTGTGGCTGAGGCTGACTTGCGAGGAAGACGATCCCTTCTCAAAGTCTCTCTTGCAAATCCTTCGAAATTCTTATGTAATGCCATTGCTTCGTCTTCATAATCATCATCTTTTCTTCTTCAATCCTTTCAAATTCTACTTCTAATTCCCCCAAATCAGAATCCATGGCTTCCCCTTCTCCCTTTTCCCTAACGCTCTGCGTTTTCTTTTCCGTTTTCAGCTTCCTTTCCCATTCCTCCCTCGCTCTCGGATCTTTCAGCTTCGATATCCATCACCGTTACTCCGACGTCGTCCGTGGAATCCTCCCCGTCGATGGCTTACCGGAGGAAGGGACTATCGATTACTACGCCGCCATGGTCCGTAGGGATATTCTTCTTCATGGTCGTCGACTTTCTGAAGATCAGCCTCCTCTAACTTTCCTCCTCGGCAACGAAACTATTCGAGTTAATCCTCTGGGATTGTACGTATTTACGTTTTTTAATTCCATTTTTCGCCGTTTTTAGTTGCTTTCGTGTTGAGATTCGGTGTGTGGGGGATTTTTTAATTAATCACTTTCGTTTTTGAATCTCTGAATCTTCCTTTGTGATTCTTATGTTTACTAATTTTCTTTCCCCTTTTGTGTTGTTGAATTTCAGCCTGAATTACGCTGAGGTTACAGTGGGAACGCCTAAGGTTTCGTATTTAGTGGCGTTGGACACTGGCAGCGATTTGTTCTGGTTACCATGTGATTGTGTTAATTGTGTTACTGAGTATAATACATTCGAATGGGTAACGATTCTTCAACCCTTTTCTTTCTTCTAGTGTTCGATTAAAAATTTTGAGGGCTGGTTGATTCTTTTTTGAAGCCCGTCACACGAGAAACACGAACACAAACACACAATGACATGGGCATGATGAATTATACTTGCTATTATATGAGAAATTAGTTCAATAGATATTTTCCAAAGAGGACAATATTTGCTAGCGGTGGGCTTAGGCCATTATAAATGGTATCAGAGCTAGACATTGGCTGATGTGCCAGTGAGAAGGCTGAGCCCCAAAAAGGGAGGTGGACATGAGACGATGTGCCAGCAAAGACGCTGGACCCCGAAGGGGTGGATTTGGGAGGTCCCACATCGATTGGAGAAGGAAATGAGTGCCAGTGAGGACGCTGGGCCCTGAAGGGGATGGATCGTGAGATCCCACGTCGGTTGGGGAGAAGAACAAAATACTCTTTATAAGGGTGTGGAAATCTCTCCCTAGCAGACATGTTTTAAAATCCTTGAGGGGAAGTTCGAAAGAAAAAGTCCAAAGAGGATAATATCTGCTAGTGGTAGGCTTGAGCTGTTTCGTATACTTATTTGTTGAATTATGTAATGAAACTAGTCGTTTTTTTTGTACATATTTTGAGGACCTTGCTATAAAATCTTTGTTTGAATATATATTTGAATGGATATGGGTTCATATAACAATCTGTGTCAAGCTTCAAGTGGGTTGGACATTTATCTGAGTGGTTCAAGATCTTTATAGAATAAGGAGATTCGAAATCCAGCACGTCCATTGATTATGAGTATATTAATGTTAAAAGAAAAAGTTTGATCTGTTCTGTTCAAATTCTAGTGACTCTATATATCTTCATTGATTTCCACGGGAATTCCTTCTTTTGCTGTTTCTGTCAACAGAGAGCAAAGTTTAATATCTACAGCCCCAGTAATTCATCAACTAGCAAGGAGGTCCCATGTAGTAGTTCTTTGTGTCAACATGCAAACCAATGCCTTTCACCAAGTGACCCGTGCCCCTATAAGGTTTCGTACCTTTCTGATAACACCTCGTCTACTGGCTACTTGGTCGAGGATATATTGCACTTAGCCACAAACGATGGCCGATCAAAACCCGTTAATGCAAATATTACTCTGGGGTAGGTCGCTATTTTATCTCTTTAATTGATGAATTGGTCTTAGAAATTTTTGGCTGGTTATTGGTACCATCAATTTAAGAGTCATTCCAAAGAGGCGATAGTTAACTTTGTTCTTTATCTCTACTCAATTGGACCCGAATTGACTTTGTTCTTAATCTCTACTTGATCGAGTTATTGAAACCTGGACATATTGTCATTTAGGTGTGGTCGGGACCAGAGTGGTGCATTTTTAAGCACGGCAGCACCAAATGGTTTATTTGGGCTCGGAATCGAGAGTGTTTCGGTTCCTAGCATCTTGGCAAATGAAGGACTCACTTCAAATTCTTTTTCCTTATGCTTTGGACCTCGTGGAATGGGAATAATTGAATTTGGAGATAAAGGTAGTCCAGGTCAAAGTGAAACACCATTTAACGTAGGACATAGGCAGTAAGTGTTTGTTCTTAATTTTGGTACATATGCTAATTTCATATTTTATAAGCTCGAAAAATTGACATGTCCATCAAATTGTTCTAATGATCTTTTCTTTCCCCCTTTTTTTGTGCATATGTCAGTCCTACTTATAACATCAGCATCACTCAGTTAAATGTGGGAGGAAACGTTTCCAATCTTGATTTTGCTGCAGTTTTCGATTCTGGGACCTCGTTTACCTACTTGAACGAACCAGCCTATTCGCTCATTGCTGACAAAGTAAGCTCCCTGCAAATTTATTTGCAGTTTCTTGTGCCACGTCCTTCAGTTTTCTTATTCATGTCATTTTGTAGTTCGATTCTATGGTTGACGAAAAGCGGTATACGGGAAATTTAGACATCCCTTTTGAGAACTGCTATGAACTGAGGTAATTTTACATATGGTTCCATATATCAGCAAGAACTAAAGCTAATAATTATCTCATTTGAAATCTTGATCTCTGATTCAGCTTATTAAAGTTAAGTCGTTTTTCTATACATTTTTCAGTTGGTTTTATACTATAAGATACAGAATATTGTGAAAAGTATCCATGTTGAACACATTTAGAACTGTTACATCCATAGCCATTAAGCTCCATAATAATGGTAAACTCGACGAGATCTAACCCGAAATAATAAGAAAAACAAATTGCTGTCCTTCACTTTCTTTCAGCCCAAATCAAACCAAGTTCAGATACCCTGTGATGAATCTGACAATGAAAGGTGGTGCTCATTTTTTCATCAACCATCCAATAGTTGTGTTTGCCAGCGAGGCCACATCATGGCTTTATTGTCTTGCCATTTCTAGAAGTGACAACATAAATATCATTGGACGTAAGTATCTCAACATTTAGCTTATAGTTTATTGTAATCTCCAGGTTTACTAAATCTAATTGAACATTTTTAAATTTTTTTTTTTTGATAGGAAGTCGTTCATTCATTGTGTATTTAAGTTGCATATCATTTCTTTTTTGTTTCATATTAATTATCTATCATTACCATAACTTAAGACATACATCTGTGATCGAGAGGTCAAAGGTTTGACTCCCTGAACTAAGATAAACTTACTTTTTCGTCCTCATGCTAATATCTAATCCCACACATGAAGAAGAGTATCAAAGAAATAGAGAATTTCGTTGATATACGAAGCGTAACATGTGGGATACGTGTCTTGAAGTTAACTAGACAATTAGCGAATGACAATCGTTTTGTTATATTGCTACATTGATCTATATCGTGGCGATTAATCCGGAAGCTTTTTTTTCTCATGATGTTTATCATGTATTAACGCAGAAAACTTCATGACTGGTTATCACATAGTTTTTGACCGTGAAAAGATGGTTTTGGGATGGAAGGAATCAAACTGTGAGTACCCCTACTAATGTTCTCTGTCTGTTTAAGGACTTTCATGTTTGTGTATATTCAGCTCTTAAACTTTAAAAAGGTGCCAATTTCAAAAACGAAAAGTTACCCGACGAGGTCTTAACTTTTTGTTTTTCGTTTCGGAATAAAACTCGTTACCTTCTAACGTGGGATCTTCATCATCATGCAGGCACCGGTTATGAGGATGTTAACACGAACAATCTTCCCATCCATCCATCGACTGCACCCACTGCGACCCCTGCCCCGGGCACAACAATCAAGCCAGAAGCCAACGGCCAGATGAATAACACTTCTCAAACATTAGACAAACCAAGATCTGCAAATAATAGCAAAAAGCTTGGAAGCTCGGTCATTCTCAGGTTATTAATGGCTGGTGTTCCATTTTTGGGTTTTGTTTGATCATTTTTGTTACAGTCTTATATTGTTTAACAGTTGTATAGTGTGAGTTTATTTATAGTTTGATAGATACTTTCATGTAAATGAAACTGTCTGTAAGTGGAAGTACAGATAGATGCTTTCATATATAGAAGAAATTCATGTTTGAGTATGAATTGGCCTTTGCCCTTCTTTCATTTCAGCTTTGATGTGCTCTTCTCAACTATCAAATCCTTTGTGCATTTGGCTTTGTAATTTGAAGTAGTGCTTTTGATGACGCCTTGGAAGGGAATATCTTTGAGAACACAAGGTTGAATAGGGGCCAAGTATTACTTTTGATATGGACTCAGTATTAATTTTATCTTATATCAGATCCACAGATATTGTTCTCTTTGGGCTTCCTCCACCTTATATTGTTCTCTTTGGGCTTCCTCCACCCGTTCTCCTCCCCAACCAACGTGGCTTGTCTTGCGAGTTACGTTATCTTTTTGTTTATGGGTATTTTTGTAAAATGGGTACGGCCCATTGGGCCAAGTGGTAGAGAAAGAAAGCCCATGAAGAAAGCCCAAAGTGGAGCCCAGATGGAAATTAGGAAGAGGACGATGAACAATGTCTACAAATAATCTTTCCCCCTTGAAACCTTCATTTTCACTCCCTTCTCTATCTCTCTGCTGTTTCTCGAAACACCTTCCAAGTTCCAACCTTCTTCTTCTTCTTCTTCTTCCTCTTCCTCTTCTTCTTCTTCCAGCTATGGCGTTTGCTCGCTGCTTGCTCCCTCTTCCTCTCGAGACTTTGAAGCATCCCACTTCTTCAATTTTCGCTTCTTCTTCTTCTTCTTCCACTCAATGTTCTTTCACTGTCGCTTTTAATTCCGCTTCTCGTCGGCGCGGTGATTTTAATCTCCCAATCTCCACTCTCTGCTGCAAAACGGGCCATCGCGGTACGTTTCTCTATCTATTTATTTTTCGTATTTCATCTGATTTGCCTCTCACTGTCCCACTCTCTATTTTGCTTCATTTTTTTTTTTTGTAAATTGTAATGTTGCTCTTCGATTGTATGGCGCTTAAGTTTATCGGGTGGTGGTAGATTCTTTTTTGGTTCTGTTGCGAATGTAGGGTTATGTGACGCTTCATTTCTTTGATTAATGTCTTGGTTTGTGATTCAGTATTTTTGGAGGACGATTGTTCTGCTACTGACACTTGTGAGCTCATGCTGTGAGTTGATGGCTATATTGATCTAATTTGGAATCAATTCTATTCAGGAACTGGATTTTGAAACACATTTTTGGCCTTTAAAACTGTAACGATTGGATCCGGATGCTAAGATTCTTGTTAAGATCAAGTAGTGGATAATTGAACTACCTTTAGTGTGTTATGGTAGGTTTCACTCACTTTCCTATTATCAAGTGCAGATTTTAATTAAAATTTGACTTCAGACTTATTCAAGGACTAAATAAAAGTGAGGACCGAAGTATAATAAGCGCCATGGCAGAAGAAAATGAAAATTGTATACTATGGGTTCCCTTTACGCCTTTTTATCGAAACCCATTTTTCTTTTTGCTTCTTTGCATCAAAGTTCTTTTGTAATTTTTTTTTTCTGAAGAGGAATCTTATCTTTGTAACTTTTGTTTCTTAGGGACGTGTGGAATAAGGGAGTATTCTGCCTTTTCATTTACTGATTGAATTTTACTCCTTTTGTCCTTCTGCTGACAATTTTGTTGTATGCAACTCTTGAGAAACTTCAAAGCAGATTAGTAGTGAATCCTAGAATGAGATAGTGAACCTTTAACACTGTGTTGAATTTTATATATCTCCTAAGTTCACTTTTTTTTTTAAGTGACAATTTCATAGATGATTGAAATTTACGAAAGGGATTTATAATCCATGGTGCTTACAAAAGACCTTCCCGATGAGGGAGGTATAACTATAGGAAGTAAAAATTCACTTTTTTTTTTCCTTTTTTGTCTTGCAAGTGCAAGTGAAGCTTGAAGCTTGAAGCTTTTATGAGCTCATTGAATTTACATAACATAGTTTGAAACTTGTTTGATATCAGTGAAAGCCAAGCCACATGATTCGGAAGCAACAGTAGTTGCCGGCTCCTTCACTGAATTCAAACACCTGCTGCTTCCAATAACTGATCGCAATCCTTTTCTTTCAGAGGGAACGAGACAGGTGACCATTCGTCGGTCTCTAGCGTCATTTTGTTTATTATAATTGTTAGAACGTATTCATTATAAATCGAATAAGCTGCTGAGTAGAATTTCACGATTGATCTCATCTTCTATGTTGAAATAACCCTCACGTAACCAAGGATTTCAAGTTCTAAGTTGGCTTTGGATCCATATTTTTAACAGGCTATTGCTACTACTGCTGCTTTGGCAAAGAACAATGGAGCTGACATAACAGTAATCTGTATGTTCGTTTCATCTTCCTTTTTATCTCTAGGATGCATAACTCTTGAAATCATATCTTCATGGTTTCCACAGTGATTGATGAAAAGCAGAAAGAATCGTTTCCAGAGCACGAGAACCAACTCTCGAGCATTCGTTGGCATTTGTCTGAAGGTTTGTAGGTGTACATCTCTTTTGAGTCTGGTTCTGTGTTAGGTTCTATGTTTCTCGATTTTTTTTTTTTTTTTTTTTTTTTTTTTTTTTTTTTGT